GACTTGTTTGCCACAAAAGAAATACAGCAAATTCAGTTATAGTGGAAAGTTCACACTGAGGCCTGGATCATGTTGATGGATCCTCGGTTCTCCAAGAAAAGAGGCAGCAATTTCTGTTTTCAAAGCATGATTACCAGTATCTTTTATTATATGAACTGTGGCAGTGTCTGGAAGCCTTCACCATGGCCAAGAGTCTCATGTTTCCATGTCCTGGACAAACAATGAACAAACAGATCCTCCCTGCCCCCAAAACCTTAATGACTCCTCACAGGCAGAGAGAAATAAAAGGATGTACACCTACAAGAGTGACCGAAAGGAATAGCAGGTGTATGAGGGAAGGGTGCAGGGTAGAGCTGACGATGCCACAGGACTCTGGTCTGCTAGAGACAGCAAAGACTTCTGCTGATTGAGATGGAGATGGTTCACCTTACGAGCTGTGAAAGGATGTGAACATGTCATCTGGACAGCCAGTTAGAAGAAACAGAGCTATTGGCAGACAGCTGCAGGAAGCCCTATGAGATAAAGGAGATAGGTGAAGAGAGCCAAGTAAATATGAACATCAAGGATTCTTGCACTCAGAGCTTCAGAGGGGAACCTTAGCCAGGATCACACCAGGAGAAAAGAGAAAACTCCCTGGAAATTATGCAGGAAGGGAGTAAGATTGGGGCCTAAGCCAAGGCTCTTTCAAGTCAATGGGAATTTTCCATTGACTTCAAACATCTTTGGATCAAGACCTAACCAACCATGGACTGTAATCACAGGTACACTGACCTCATATTTGGGTATTCTACTTGTATATGGGGTTTGCTTGGAGAACAGCTCTGACACTGAATTGTTGATGATGTATGGAAAGTCCCAACATCCAGAGTGAAAAGAAAGTGCAGGCACTGTGGCTCATGCAGTCTTTGTCCTTAGTGCTGAGACAGGAGCACAGGGAGCCCATTATAGATGCTGCTTTGTGTGATGTGGACTCCATACTGGATGGAGCCCTATCTGACAGAGGCTAATGAATAACAGACAGGAGATGTCAACTTTCACTTACTGTTGACCTTGATTGAATTAAATTGGTGATGATGTCTGCAAACTCTTTATGCCATGACTAATTTCCTAAGCAAGTCAACCTACCTTTCCAGCTGTTTTAAGGAATATATGAAGTTGCTTGACCATTGTGGGAAAGAAGTGAGGAAAGAAACCTCATTCCTGAAGGGAAGGCTATGAAAGACTTTGCTGTTCCCTACCAAAATGTGATCTGAGGCTAATGTGAAGCTGTCATTTAACAATTAAGACATAATCACCATTGTAAGAATGGTTGCATTCCACATGTGATTTTTCCCTCCCAAACTCAAAGCTTCTGTCCTGAAGATGCTCATGCTTAGTTTCAAGACAGAAGATGATTACTGTGGCTACTTTTAAGCACTGCTGCCAAAGTGCAGAATCTGCCATCTGTTTCACTTCAGCAGTGTCTCAGATTTTTTGGAGGGGGGAATGTCCTCATTCCAGAATAGTTGCATGTAATGAAAAAAAATCTTTTGGCATTTAATCATTTCTGTCAACTAGCACATAATAAACTTTTTAAAGAAAATTGTTTCCAGCTAAAAAGAAGCTCAATTATTAAAACTTTAATATGCTGGGGAGGAACCAGTTACTTTGGAGAGAAAACAAATGTCTATGAGTAACTGAAAACTAGGCATGAATCACCAGAGCAGCAGTGAAATAAATGTATGTAAATAATTCTATGGTAAACTGAGAGTGCACTGGGAGTTTTCGAGAACCCAGCATAAAATAGGTAGTCTGTAGAGCAGTAATGGAGCCCACCTAAGAGACCTGGATATGTGTCACTGAGTCAGCCACTTGTGGCAGACAAAATTAGGTATGTGTCAGCAAAAGGAGAACTTGAACTTACAACCTTGGGCCTTTCTGCGGGGAAGTCCTATGGTGAGAGTGTACATCAGGAATGACTGGTGCCTCCCGAGACTTGGGGGGCACAATCTGTGGGTGGCAGTGTTGTCAGCATTGGTGCTGGGGTGGCGATTAGCGATTGCCCGCAGATTGGCGGCAGCATCAGCAGTGGCGGGGAGAGGGGGGGTGAGTGGCAACCACCCACAGAAGCCAGTGGCAGTGACCAATCTTGGGGGGGGGGCATGTGCCCCTCTGTGCGCCCCCTATGAGTTACCTATGGTGTACATAGATTAGTAAAATGTGCATTGGTGTGAGTATATTGATATTATACCAGTGCAAACAGAGACATGGAGCCAGTCCAAACTTGGGCTTGTGCTAATATCTTAGGGTAGGGATGTCCAAATGGTGGCTCGTGGGCTGCATGCAAGCCTGAATGACTAAATTGTAGCTTGTGAGGGGCCTATTGGTTCAGCTACCAGAGCCACTGCACTGGCATCAGGATATGCATCAGTCATCAGGATATGAATGTCGCTGCTGCTCACTTACGTCACCTCCTTACCTGTCACTGATTCCAGGTCTTTGATCACCATTGGTGATTAAAAATGGTGGCAGGGGAAAAGGAGGGTGGGGAAGCAGCAGCAGCCTTCACCCTCTGGGTTCTGTAGCTGCACCCACACAGAGGCTTTGGCAGCTGCATTGACAAGCTGCTGCCCTGATGCCAGAAGTGGGTTGTCCAGCCCATGAAAAGCCCCATGGCCTCAATTTGGCCTGCAAGACCAAATTAGTTGGATACCCATGCCTTAGGGTATAGCAAGTAAATTAGTTACTGCAAGGGAAAAGGCAGCAGGGTGTTATTCTACATCAGGTGGTTGATGGTGACTGCTCATGTACCTGTTTCTATACTCTGGTAACTCAGTTATAGTAACCTTCCCCTCTTGTGATGATTACTTAGCTACCAAGCTTTGGCGTTCATCTATCCCATATCCCATAAAGACTGGGTACACGGGCAGTTAGTAGGAATTACTGATGCATGGTAAAGCCCTGCCTCTTCTTTACTTTAGAGAAAATAGTTTGTCTGCTCATGCCCTCAGTATCAGGCTGCTTTCAGCACAGAAATGCTGGAAGAAGATGGGGTATTTTGGATGTAGACTGTAAGCTCTTTGGGGGCATGGACCATCTTTGCTTTTGTACTAGTGCAGCACACACCATGGGGGTTCTAATCCAGGCCTAGGCCTCTCAGTGCTATCACACTGATGATACTGTATTGCATACCAGAGATAGGGTGGCCTAAGCTGCTTGGTGATAGGTAAAACCCCTTTGGAAGCCTGCATGTTGACATAAACTAAGTTCCTTACTACCCCATATGGAGACAAAGCTGTGATGTAAAACTTGCTCCTGATCTCTAGCTTGAGAAACAATTTTCAGCCACTCTTTGGTTCTTCTTAGAGCCCATGTTTATTCTTAGTCATAAAGAACTGCAGCCCAGCATCAACTCCCTGTCCCTTCCTGATCCCCCAAGGATAGAAGCAGGGCAAGGATGGACGAGACCCCCAACAACCTCCCCCAGGCCACAGTTACTCTTGTTACCTTCAGCTGTAGTATCATTCTTCACAGCTTGCCACCCCCTCTCCCTTCTTGGGTGCTCTTTTTAAATCTTCTGGCTGGAATCCTGCCCTAATCAGTAGATCACTCTCACCTGCCAGCCAGCCTGGCTCAGAAAAGGATTGGCTGTACCCAGACCTCCCCAGGCCCTTAAAAGGGGAAGCCACCCTGCTATATACAGTATTCTGTGAGTGGGCAGCTGTGTATACGGTTGCTTGTGTTTGTGTGTAGTTTTAGACTGTGCATGTTTGCACAAGTGAAAGTATGTGTGTGTATTAGTATGTTTGTGTATGATCACAGGATGTGCAATTGTTCATTTACATATGTTTGTGACTGCGGGTGTGGATTGTGATGTGTGGGCCCTTCAAGGTTTGTATATAGAGATACAAGTTTTTGTATGTGGGTGTACTGTGAAAATATACCTCTATAGCTGAGTGTGTGGGTGTCTGTGTCTCTGTGTGTGAATGTTGGTGTTTTTGCATAAATGCCTTGTGTATCCATCCACAAGTGAGTGTATGTGAGTGTGGGTACGGATATGTGAGTGTACATGTCTCTTCCTGTTGCAGTACAAGTATAATATTGCAGTGTCAGGAGGACCTTGGCTGACAGCCCAGCAGTGTGGGACATGTTTGTAGAAGATGAAGCAGAAGAGATGACATGAAAGTTATTTTTGTCTATCAGCTGAAGCATTATAGAGACATCAACAAGCTCTTGTCTCATGCCAGCTTAATTCCTAGTTAATCAGCAGTCTGCTTGGGCAAAGGAAGAAATTCACGTTGGGGCTGCTGATGAGCCAAACTTCCCGGCGAGGATTTGGGAGCCTGAGGGAGTCCTGATCGCTGGTTTAATGCTAGCTTGGATGTGCTGCTGCTCGCAGTGTGCAGCGTCCCTGGAAGAGTTACATGCCTTGTAAGCTGTGCCTTGTTATCTCTTAAGCTACCGCCATGAGGGAAGACATCTTAGGTTATTTTGGCACTGCTTCCCTGGAGGGCCATTGCTGGCTTATTCTGTGCTTGGGTGCTTTGTCCAGTCCACTTGAAAGTGACTCCAGAACCCGTGTTCCCTCGGGACACTGCTCCACAGTCCATAGATCTCAGCATTGGGAAGCTTCTTCTGATGTTTAGCTGAACTTTCCATTTGCCCCTGCTGATCCCATCACTTCTAGGGACACCTGCCTTGCCCTTGCTGCGTTTGATGCAGATATTGGGTTACCCCCATGGCCATCTGATACATTTCACCTGAGCCAGTCTGGCTTACATCCACTTTGGACCAGGCCTGCTCAGTTTTTTAAATCTGCTCTTAATAGATCCTTAAAGGAGCCTCTGTACTTATAATTGCCCTTGTCTGATTTGATAGCTTCCCAGAAGAGAGCAATGTTTCTTTTTCACTGTTTGGCTGACGTGTATTCATTACACACTAAATTGTTTGTTGATCATTCACATCTTGGTGACTGGCCTTTTATAATCCTATTGTTCATACTAGTATCGTCTGCTCTTTGTAGACATTTGTACACCTCATGCCTGCCCCACAATTTGGCAAACTCTTTGCTAACAGATTTTTAACACTACCAGTCCATCTTTAGCTATTATGTTTTCTTGCATATGACATATCTCAGAATATAGCACATACCTTGTTTTTGAAAGGCAGAATGAAGAGAAAAAGATTTTTCCAGAGTCTTAGCTGTATAAACCAGGGACAGGGGCTAATCTTCAGTTCACTTGCTCCCTTTCCTGCTTAACTACAGCTGAAACCCTAGTCGCTGCTGACTACTGGTCTCCATGGGTAAATCTAATATTTTGAAAAGAGCTAAAGAGTTTCCAGGGCTGTGAAATAGGAGGAGACAGACCAAGAACAGCTAGCAGACAACACTAGTTCTGCTTTAGTTAGAGTCTTTAATTAGATGTCTTATTTCCCTGAGGAAGATTAGCTTGATTAGAGGAATATCAAGACCATTAAAAAGGAGCGACAGTTATTAACATCTGTGGAATAAAGCACAAGGAACCATTAAGTCAGTTGACCCCCTCATCTACCTGAATAGTAAGGCCACAGCTGCTAGATTGTGTAGTAAGAATCAAAGCTGGTATTCTGTCCAAGGCAGAAAATCAGCTTCCCCACTTAATACATTCTCTCCAACTTTGGGGGACTGATTTTGGGGAAAAGGTATGTGACATATGCAAGAAAATATGAGATTTTGCATTTCAACCTCCAGGTTGTTCTGTGTTACAGGATCTTATTCAAAGCCCACTGGGATCCATGGATGTTCTCCCATTGATTTTACTGAATCGGAGAACAAGCCTGTTATTTATCAGTCCCTATCTAACTTCCGTGACTCCTAGTAGTTTATCAAGCCTTCAGTCTTCCTGGACTGACTGCATCCCCTTATCATTTTATATTGGAAACTAAGGAGTGGAGAACCTGGCTAGTACTCAAATAGGAGACCATTTGGGAAACTCCTTGAGTGCTGTAGGCATAAGCCAAGGAGCTTAGTTGAATTACTAGTAAATATTAGACTACAGAAATGGCTAGAAATACTTTGCTTGGCTCCACCATTGCTGATGGGAGAGAATAAGAAGGAGCCCACCTAAGTGTCCACAGGTCTCTTCCCCCACTCTTCATGCCTTTTCCCATGTTATCAATCAGTATTTGAACTGGATTAACATCAGACTTCCATTTCCTGCCTCAACCCCGGACATTTTCTGTATTCTCCTGCCTTCGTGTTAGGTGTGAATGGGGGCATTTATTTCATGTACGTTGCTCTGTGTAAGCCCTTCTGGTGCTGCTTACCTGTTGATGGTTGCTGGTCATTCCTGGTCTAGAGTTTTCCTGGTTCTCTATGGCTATGCCCCGAAGTGACTTGTAGTTGTTAAAGTGATGTGTGCTGATACGGGGTTCCATCATGCTAGGCACTGTACAGACTCTAATTAAAGCAGAACCAGTGCTTGCAATTTAAATAGAGCATAGAAATTGGAAAAGGAGGCTCAGAATGGGGAAGTGGCTTCCTGTCACACACTCAGCTGGGAGCTCCCCACACTCACCCACTAGCATGCTGAATATTTCCAAATCTCCTTTTACTACTTTTATTTTTTCAATCAACAGTCTGCGACAATGATTCCATAGCTGCCACAATTGCATTCAGCCTTGAGGTCACAAGCAGCTTTTGAGACCTCTCTGAGATCTTCCCCAACTAAGCAGGTCCCTCAGGTTGAATGACTGGGGAGCAGATCCCAGGACCACTCTGGGGAATACTGAAGAGCCAGACCATCTGTGGGGCAACAACTAGGATCCTTCATTTTCAAGGAAGGAAAGAAGGTGTCTGGCCCTGGTTTCCTTCTCCCTCTTCATGTACTGAAGATGATTTGGTTCCACATTGCAATGGATGCTGTGGTGGGATAGGACTTTGCTACAGCTCCTTCTCCATTTTAAAAAAAATATTTTTCCTTCTACCACCTTGTCTTTTTTTGCCTTGAGGATGTTGTCAATAAAAAGTACAATGTGTAATGCTTTCTGCATGCATCTGATTTTCAGGTTCACACGGAGGAGATGTACTTCCCAGGCAGGGTAGTCAGAGGAGTCTAGGACACACAGGTGACCCCACAGGTACAGAAATCCTTGTCTAGCTCCAGCACAAGCTGGTGACATGGTACTACGTGAATTCATCCCTGTGGTTCGGGATTCATACTATGGGCAAGGGCTGGATGGAAACGATGTCTGGGGGACAAGTCATGGTGCGAGGTGCTCTCTCACTATCCTTGAAGAAGGAAGACCCACAGCGCAGTGAAAGCTGTACTTCCAAGGCTTGGCAATCCCAGTCCTCCACAAACTGCTACTCCATTGTGGAGATACCTGGATCTGAATTTAGATCTCAGGTTACATTGTTCTGTCCTTCTCTGCCACTGTAGTCCTTACTCTAAACCACTCTGTAGCACTTCTGTACAACATACTAAGCGGCTTTTTTGAATGGACATTGAGGGGATGAGATTATATTTCCCTGGGGGAGGCCATTCTCCTTACATACATTTAGGATTATGAGTTTGTGAAGTACTGCAGGGACCTTTGGGATAAAAGGGAGCTATAAATGTAGAGTGACTGCATGAAAATAGCATAATTGCCACACAGGGTCATCTGAGTTACCCAACATATCACCTGATCTAAGAATGGGGGGAAATAGTGATGGGTCAAATGCCATGGTGAGGTGGGTGGTTGCAATACAGTCTCATTAATGGCCAGGATGAAGATTCCCCTTTTGCCCCACCATTCAGAGGCAACACAATCTTAACGTGTGTCTGACTTAGGCTTGTTATTTTCCTCTGTGGTATGACCCTCACCCTAAGATACTTTGGAGCCAATACCCAGCTAGAACCAGACACAGAGCCACAAAACATAAGTCCCAGCCCCCATAATGTGATATAAAGAGAGGGAAGAACTACAGAATAGCTTCCCGTTGACTGACTGAACAGCATGGACTGTAAGGATGTCCAGCTGTTCAGACGTCCTTCAGGAGTAAAAAGTAGAGAGTTTATGGTGAACCTCCTCCTGAAGGAACCATCACTGCACAATTCAGCACTCATTGGGGCCTCTCCTATGTAATGAATGCTACTCGGAAAGAAAGGATAGGGCACCTGGACCAGTGCTGGGGCTACAGAAGGGCTGTGGAGAAGGAAGGAACACTATGTGAAGGGTAAGAAAGGACACCTGGAGAACCATCACTGAGTCAAGGTGAGGGAGAGCAGCAGCTGATACAGTATAGAAACCTGGGTGACCCAACTATTCATATTTAGGGGGAAACCCAGGCCTGGGTGACCTAAGCTATCCACGGGACTAGAGGCGGCACGTGTGTTAGGAACTAGAGGTAGTGTCTACAAGAGAGGAATTTATCCCTCTTCAGGCCTCAGCAGTTTCCTTTTGGGATGGCCCAGCAACTCGCAGAGAGCTGATGGGAAGCCAAGTGCACCAGCTTCAGGATTTATGGCTCTCAGTCATTAAGGTGGTAGCTTGGCTTGGGGCACCATTACCCAGTTCTGAAAATGGTCTGCAACCACCTGTTCCCAGGGTCCCATGTCCAAGCCAAATGCTTATCCTTTGGCTTATACAGGCTTTGTGTAGTCCAGACCATGAGAGCTGGGGTGGAAGTTTATTGCAATAAATTTATTTGCGGAAAAATTCTGTTTGGGGATTACCAGCACCAGAATTTGCAAATCATTTTCACTTATAAAAAAGGGAGAATATTGAAAAAGTAAAAACATTTCATTTCTGATCTTTTCAAATCCAAATTCATTTCTGAAATCAGATTTTGAAACCAACTTTAGCCAAATTTAATTGACTCAAAACTAGTTTAAATGTCCCCAGAAAAAGAAGCTAAACATTTCAGGCCAAACAAAACATTTTTTAATGTTTTCACTAAATGATTTTGTCCCTACCTTTTGTTTTGATGAGAAGAGTAAAATGATATTATTTGGGGCAATCCCAACCCTGCATGGTTTAGTTTGGTTTGGTTTCAGCTTGGTAACTGAGCTGAAAATTTAGTTATTCACACAGCTTTATTAACCTGCCTGCCAAGAATTCAGTGTGCCCTGAAATAATCCCCACTTCACTTATTTAGGGGGAAAAAAAACACCAAAAATTGGTGACCACAGATCCTTGGATTCTTCAGCACAGAGAGCACAAAGTAAATAGATAAACCATCATTTGGTATCACTATTAGTGTATCAGGAAGGCTGCTCTGCAGGGAGGATAAATGGGGAAGGATTCTTGGGGTGAGAATTTATTGTGAGGTCCTCTTGTCAGAACTTTACCAAGACTGCTCTGCAACTGAGCTGGTTTTGGCCTCAGATCAAGATAGAAACCTGGAATTTTGTCTCCAGAAAAGACGGACTTTCCAAACAAGACAGCAGATCTCAAGTGATCTGTTTGGAGACTTGGGCCTGGGGACATATCTCCTCTGCTGATAGGTGCTCCCAGAATCTCCTGTGAAGAAGATGGGAGACTCAAGGGCCACAGAAACCTCAATGTAGCATAAGGACATTTTCAGTGTGGTGAGGATGAGGAGCATCCTGCTTTCCTTTCTATCTACCTTGCTCTATTCCCTCTTGTAGAGAGAAGCTAAAGGAAAGAACCGGCAACGGGAAGCAGGAGGAAGACCCAAGACTTACAGATAAGCAAGGTGACTAACAGAAGTGTCCAGACTTTAGCTAGGTGATAGTATTTGGCACTTTGATAAGAGCCCAAGGGCTTCACACATGTTCCTTCTTGCCTCCTACAGAGGTCCCAGAATGCAACACTCCATCTTGATGGACTCAAGATGCCAGGGTGAAGGCTGTACTTCCATTTTTAAGAGACAGGTAGCTGGAAGTGAATTGCAGAGAACATCTTGAACTCCAGATGGGTTCACAGCAGGCTGTGGGCATGATAGGGGGTTGGAAAAAATCTGCAACTAAGCTGAGCTGAATGTGAAATGTGGGTATATTTCTGCACCTCCCTTTTCTCAGCAAGAAGGCTCCTGTTCTTCCATTTGCTGCTCTGAGATAAAAGTCTGACCACTTTACCTGTACCTAGGCATTAGCTGTGACTCTGGGTCTCTCTGCTACATTATTAATGATTCTGGTGAGCCACAAGGGAGGAGATGCTTCCCTTGATAAGACTGGCAGGTGGAGAATGCCCCAGCAAGTCTGCTTTGGCCCTGTCCATCTTAGTGTCAGATTGAAAGGAATCTTGTAAACACACCGAAAGCTCCTCTGATTTCATCTGAGTCACTCCGGGCTCAGCTCCAGGGCCTTGTTTACGGTTCAGAAGTAGACTTTCCAGTTTCCCCACTGCATTAGGATGTGTGAACAACTGCCAGCTTCCAGACTTGGCCCCACCCTGTCAACCTTAATGGTGATTAATAAGACACACGTTTCCTGGGTTTTGCACCCATTTTTCTTAAAATGCTGCCTGGCAGTGGTGAGGAAGGAGAGATTATAAACTGCAGTGGATGGGTAGAAGGGCCCTGGAGCAGCAGGTCTTAGAAATGCTGTGATGCTCTCCCATCCATGGACAGGGCATTGAGCTGCTTACGAAGACAAATTCTGCTGTCAGCCTCAGATTTCCTGCCAGTGGAAGAAAGTGTTGGAAAGACAGCAAGTAGTTTTTTAGATCCAGGGACCACTGTTAGTCACATTTGGTATTTTCTAGGACAACCCTAGAAGCAGCACCTGCCAGAGTCCTCTTGGTTTTCATCGGTGTGTGTGTCCAAGCTGGCCCTAAGTATCCAGCAAAGGAATCCAAGGGACCAATGAGACTGAAGATCACCTAGAAGCTTTATCTACCCAGACCTTAAAACAGACTTAGTCCCTTTTTTCCTCCCTCCAGAGCCTCTGAAAGGCCACCTGCATTTTAGGACTGAGATCTCCACTGCTACCTGCCGTGGGGCTATGTTTGTCATGATGGGCCTGACCCAAGCAAACCTCCCACTAAAATCAACAGAAGTGTTGCCTGAGGAAGGACTGCAGAACCAGGCCCCCAGCATCAGCTCTCTTTTCCTCTGTCCTATGCCTTTGGATAGTTAAAGCAGTACCCTCATGAGGCAACATCCCACCCATTCCCCATTTTCAATGGCATCTTTAAACTATCCTGCAAGGATAGCAGGGCACCTCAGCTTTATCTTTAGTCAAAAGTCTGTTCTACAACAAGCAGTCAGGTTTTAGTGGTTCCTTAAGTAACCTTTGAAACCAGGTTTGACTGCATGCTGAGATGAACTGTTGGTTTCTGGGTAGGCTAGTACACAGTGAAGATGTAAGCCATATATCTGAAGAGGCCTACAGAGTTGACAGAGAGAACAGCATTATATCAAGAAAGTGAAATAAGCTGGGGCTAAATCTATGAGATCTAGGTTCAGTTCCTGAGTTAGCCACAGATCTTTTCAGGCAAGGCACTTCATGTGCCCTGTACATTAGTTCCCAATGGGGAAAATACATTCCAGGGTGTTGTGTGGATAAATCTATTGATGAAAGTGAAGTGCTCAGATGTTACTGCAATAAGCAACTCCAAGAGGCTACTCTATTTCTGTTGGCTTTCCAGCTGGGTGAACATGTTCCATCCTCAGTTGGCCTAGTCTCTTGGGTACAACACACATGATTGTGGTGTATGCTGCACAAACCTTTTCCACAGTGAAGCTACTACTGCCATGTCCAGGCCAGGTTTTTTCAGGACTCACCTAAGCGGAGGGGATTGACACGAGCCACTTCCACGTAGTGATCCCTGGTAACATGGGATCTGTCAGCCAAGAGCTCCCAAATAGACAAAAATGCCAAAACACACACAGAGAAAGATATGGACACCGTTTTTGTCACATGAAAGGACCTAAGCAGAAACCTCCAGTTGTGTATGTTGAAGTGAGTATCATATATAAAGCCTATCTCCCACAAACCTGTTTTTTAGGATAAGCCAGGATACATCTTGGCACAAGCAGGGGAAAACTTGAAATTTAGTGGGGAACCATTAAGGTTCTGTGGGCTCCACGTTCTCC